ACGTTTGTTTCTTTGTGCCTGTTTTATGTGCACACATTAGGCATTGAGACTTCGAGCTTTTTTTTTTGTCCACGTATCTTTGGGTCTTTGATAAAGAAAAGAATCCCTGTTCATTGTAAGCACTTTTACGGGGCGGGTGGGGAGGGGTGCTCTGCTGGTCTTAAATTACCAAGAATTCTCCAAAAAAAATTTCTGCAGGATGATTGTACAGAATCATTGCTTATGACATGATCGCTTTCTACACTGTATTACATAAATAAATTAAATAAAATAACCCTGGGCAAGACTTTTCTTTGAAGGATGACTCCAGACATTAAACAGTCAAAGTAATTCTGGGCGGGGAGAGAAGAGGCAGATTCAATTTTCTTTAACCAGTCTGAAGTTTTATTTATGATACAACAGAAGATGAAAATGGAAGTGGCAATATAAGGGAAGGAGGAAGGCATGCCTGGACAAACCCTTCTTTAAGATGTGTCTTCAATTTGTATAAAATGGTGTTTTCATGTAAATAAATACATTCTTGGAGGAGCACCATTGTGCTGGTGTGAATGATTCTATGGTAACAATATTGACCATTTACTGACCTACAGTAAGAACTGTGGGTACCCAGTGAGAAATCTTCTCATGTTGAGTACCCACACCTGTTGTGTCTTAATTGCAAGTCTGAGTAGGAAGTTAGGGCCAACTTGTGTCTCCCAGTGCTGGCAAAATATTTCCTAGACCTCATTTACAGTCTTTACTTGATCTAAAATATTTTGCTTCCATATTTTGGCCCTCAAGTTTGACCCAAATGAGAGACAAAGGGAAAAGTTCCAGGGAAATAAAAATTAAGACAGCTGATTGTTATCTGTAAAACAGAGTTTCTTTTTGTTCTCTTTGGTTTTGTTTGTTTGTTTGCTTTTTATTGAGACGGAGTCTCACTCTGTCGCCCAGGCTGGAGTGCAGTGGCGTGATCTCAGCTCACTGCAAGCTCCGCCTCCCGGGTTCAGGCTATTCTCCTGCCTCAGCCTCCCGAGTAGCTGGGACTACAGGTGCCCGCCACCACGCCCGGTTAATTTTTTGTATTTTTAATAGAGACAGGGTTTCACCATGTTAGCCAGGATGGTCTCAATCTCCTGACCTCGTGATCCAGCTGTCTTGACCTCCCAAAGTGCTGGGATTACAGGTGTGAGCCACCACCCCCGGCCAAAGCAGGGTTTCTTATCCTGAATGCCACTAACATTTTGTGGAGAATAATTACTTGTCAAAGGGAGTTTTCCTGAGCAGTGTAGGATATTTATTTAGCAGCATCTACCCACTGGCAATCAAATGTGTCTCTGGACATTGCCAGATGTCTTTTAGGGGACAAAGTCAATCACATTTGAGAACCACAGCTCTGTAGTTTAAAATAATGTCGTATGTAACATAATTTTTTATTGGGAAAGTCTCCTTCTGTTAGTTCAGGCTGCTGTAACAATCCCATAGACTGGGTGGCTTTAATACTTCTGTCTCTCATTTCTGAAAGCTGGATGTAGGAGATCAAGGTGCCAGCACAGTCAAGTTGGCCAGGGCCCTGTCCTGGTTCACAGATGGCAGCCTCCTGGCTGTGTCCCTGTAACAGAAATGCAGGTTCAGTCACTTGCTGCTTGCCGAATCCAATTAAGAGTGAGAAAATGGTATAAAGAAAATGACTTTTTATTCCAAAGCTAGCTTGGGGGAAGACGTGCAGGCTTCCTGCCTTAAGGATATTGCTTCACTTTTGGAGCAGAAAGTGGGCACGGTTTTTTGTTTTTTGTTTTTGAGACAGGAGCCTCGCTCTGTCGCCCAGGCTGGAGTGCAGTAGGGCGATCTCAGCTCACTGCAGCCTCCACCTCCTGGGTTCAAACAATTCTCTTCCCTCAGCCTCCTGAGTAGCTGGGGCTGGCTACAGGCGCGCACAACCACACCTAACTAATTTTTGTATTTTTAGTAGAGACGAGGTTTCACCATGTTGGCCAGGATATTCTTGATGTCCTGACCTCGTGATCTGCCTGCCTCAGCCTCCCAAAGTGCTGGGATTACAGGCATGAGCCACTGCCCCCAGCCAAGTGGGCACTTTTAAAAGGAGGGCCTGGCACGAATAACACGCAGGGAAGGCAGCGAGCAGGTGGGGGTCCCTGTACTCGTTTTGGTGCGTTATCTACCAGGCGACTGAGTCAATGTCTTTGTGGACAGAATTCGATTACAGAATTCTAGTTGCCCGGGCCAAAAAGATTAATGAGATTTTGAGAGACTTTGCTGTGGCTAATCCGATGGGTGGGGAAGAGTACAATCTCAGTACAATTTTAAGTTGTATTTATCTTATGAATAATGTGGGCTATTCTTTTATATGCCCAAGGGCCATTTTTATGTTTTTTGTTCGGGGCTTGAAGTCTCTACTTCGGTATCAGGGTTACAATGCCTGCTGTCTTACTGTTTCCATTTGTCTGGTACATTTTTGTTCATTCCTTTATTTTTAGCTGTTTCAATGACTGCATTTTTGGTGTGTGTCTTGTGTGCGGCACAGAGTTGAGGTTTTGCTATACAAGCCAATCTGAGTATAATCTTTTTTTAATAGGCAGATTAAGCTCATCCAGTTTTATTGATGTAACTGCCATGTCCGTGTTTGGTGTCAATTCTGTCATATCTCCAGGTTAGGGAGAGTTTTTTAGCAGGTATAATTTGGGTTGTAAGTTGACTGTTGTCTCCCGAGCAGTCTCCTGGTGAGAAAGAGTTTCACTGGAGCTTGGAAGCACATAGTTAGACGGCCTTGCCCTGTAGGGACTGTCTGGTGAAGGAGAGGTAAACAATTATAATTGCATTTCTAAAGGGCTAAATAGGACATGGGAAACTGGAAAATGGAGAAAAGAGAAAAAAGTAATAACTCGTTCTCTTTTTCTTAGAAAAATGAGGGTACTTGGTCATATCCTCACATGGTGAAGGGAAAGATGGTCTCTTCATTTCCCTCGAGCACTAGTCCCATCGCGAGGGCTCTGTCCTCATGGGGTTACTAAGGTAACCCTAAGTGCCTCCCCAAGGTCCAACCTCCACATACCATTATAGGGGATCAGGGTTTCAACATAGGGATTTGGGGGAAACACAAACATGCAGTTCACAGTGATATCTGACTGCGATTCCAAAGGTCTGAGGACACATTGGCCCTGGTGTGTTTGCTGTGTTGTCCTTGGCCTCAGGTGAACATTTTAGCTTTAGATTGCCACATTTTAAACTAAAAACACTAAGCTGGAAAATTAAACTTGCTTCATCACGTTCTGCATTATGAACAAAGTCAAAACTCATCTGAGTGTATCTTGTTTTCATGAGAACAAAATGGTTATCTCCCTTGCCCTGTTAGGGGCAGTTAGACACGACCGCTGTATGAAGGTATGTACATGTAACAATTTATATATACAAGCTACTGTTTCATTTTGCCTGGCCCAAGGGGAGGTAGCTAGCTAGTTGGGGTGTCAGGGCGAATTAACCCTAATATAATAGTACATTTCTAATGCCACCAGTGAAATGAAAACCAGCTTTCAGACATGGCACTGTATGGGATGGCACTCCAAGGCCCACCTTCAGTTACAGTAACTACAGCTTTAACTTTGATCATTTTGTCACCAGAAAGGGGGTCCCAATGCAGACCCCAAGAGAGGGTTCTCGGATCTCATGCAAGAAAGAATTCAAGGCAGGTCCATAGAGTAAAAGGAAATGAAATTTTAGGAAAGTAGAAAAATGGAAGATTGGTTGCTCCATAGGCAGAGTGACCCTGAGGGCTGCTGGTTGCCCATTTTATTGTTATTTCTTGATTATATACTAAACAAGGGCTGGATTATTCATGCCTCCCCTTTTTAGACCATATAGGGTAACTTCCTGACATTGCCATGGCATCTGTAAACCAGGGTAACTTCCTGACATTGTCATGGCATCTGTAAACCGTCATGGCTCTAGTGGGAGTGTAGCAGTGAGGATGACCAGAGGGTCACTCTCATCGCTATCTTGGTTTTGGTGGGTTTCGGCCGGCTTCTTTACTGCAACTTGTTTTACGAGCAAGGTCTTTATGACCTGTATCTTATGCAGACCTGCAATCTCATCCCGTGACTTAAGAGTGCCTTAACCATCTGGGAATGCAGCCCAGTAGGTCTGAGCCTTATTTTACCCAGCCCCTATTCAAAATGGAGTTGCTCTGGTTCAAACGCCTCTGACAATTTCAAAGCTAATGAAAAAAATTTCTAGCCAAATATATATATACATATATATATAACTATGAAAAGATAATGCCTTATAATCTTGATTCTTAATTGAGGTATATTGATAGGATTCTTCCAGTGGTCTGGGGATTGATCAATAGGTAATTTATACAAAACTGAAGTGCTACTAAATAGAATTATAGTAGTAGTTGCCCGGGCCAAAAAGATTAATGAGATTTTGAGAGACTTTGCTGTGGCTAATCTGATGGGTCGGGAAGAGTACAATCTCAGTACAATTTTAAGTTGTATTTATCTTACGAATAATGTGGGCTATTCTTTTATATGCCCAAGGGCCATTTTTATGTTTTTTGTTTGGGGCTTGAAGTCTCTACTTCGGTATCAGGGTTGCAACGCCTGCTGTCTTACTGTTTCCATTTGTCTGGTACATTTTTGTTCATTCCTTTATTTTTAGCTATTTCAATGACTGCATTTCTGGTGTATATCTTGTGTGCAACACAGAGTTGAAGTTTTGCTATACAAGCCAATCTGAATATAATCTTTTTTTAATAGGCAAATTAAGCTCATCCAGTTTTATTGATATAACTGCCATGTTCGTGTTTGGTGTCAATTCTGTCATATTTCACGTTGCAATTGCTGAATGTATTATACTTTTATATTTACTGTGTCCTCTTGTGTTTTTTTTCTTTTGGTTTATGAATTTTGTATCTTTTTTTTTTTTTTTTTTTTTTTGAGACGGAGTCTCACTCTGTGGCCCAGGCTGGAGTGTGGTGGCGCGATCTCGGCTCACTGCAAGCTCCGCCTCCCGGGTTCCAGCGACTCTCCCAAGTATCTGGGACAACAGGCACGTGCCACCTCAGCCAGCTAGTTTTTCACTTGTAGTAGAGACGGGGTTTCACCATGTTGGTCAAGCTGGTCTCAAACTCCTGACCTCAGGTGATCTGCCTGCCTTGGCCTCCCAAAGTGCTGGAATTACAGGTGTGAGCCACCGCGCTCGGCCTTGTATCTTTATTCTACTGGTTACTTTTATACTAATCTTCTGTAGTGCTCTTATTCCCTTTTTTCTGTCTTAACCTGTTACTATCTGTCTTTTCTAGATGATACTGATTCCCACCTATATGTCAGTCAATGGTCTTACTCTACTTTTCCACTTTTCTCTCCCTTCTCCCACCTTTTTAGTTGTATTTGTTCTACTTTATCAGTATATAATGTTTACATGTCTTCCTGTGTTTCATTAACCCATGATCCAACTGTTACATTATTCTCAGCTCTACTGTCAAATATGTGAAATGCTCTCTGTTGGTCCTTTTGTTCCCAGAAGTCTTTTGGTTCGGTGAAACTCACCCTCCAGTAAGCTGCTCAGCAAGGGCACGTGTACTCTGTTCCTGGAATTCTGGTGAGTTTGAAACTGATTTTCTGTGACCTTGAAACTTGAAGAGCAGCTTGTTTCTCCTTGGGTTTCTTGAAAATGGTGTTCTAGTGTTTCCTTGCTTTGCATGTTATTTTTGAGAAATCTGGGGCCAATCTAATTATCTTTGTAAATATTTTTTGGGCCTGGAGGCCTTCAGAATTTTTTTTCTTTTAATCTTTAAAGTCTAATAATTTTCCAAGCTATCTCAGAATTGATTATTTGTGATCAATTTTCCTATATACCCCACTGGGCCCTTGCAGCTTATAGTTGACTTGGTTCTTTTATTTCGGGAACTTTTTCTTGGATTAGAGTTTTAAATATTCTGTTATATTATTTTTCTTCAAGAACACCAATAATACAAATATGCAGCCTCCTTTGGCTTCCATTTCAACCTTCTTCTGTGATCCTTTTTATTTTCTTTATCTCCTTTTCATTCTCTTGGCTGTCCTTCTTGTATTCAATACCCTTTATTCAGTTTTTATTTGAACCTATTCTCTTCGGGGCACCTTGTAATCTGTTCTTTATTACTGATAAAGTTTTGTAATTTTCTTCTATTTTTTTTTTTTCCTGAATTTCAGCAGCTCTGGCTTCATTTTCTCCTATTTTTTGTTGATTTCTCTACCTAGTTTTTATATTTTCAATTCAATGTATTAATATTTTCCATGCTCCCAGATGCAGGTTGGAGAATATTTCATAAATACTGAGTGTTGGCTTAGAATTTTCATCAAGTTCATGGTTATGTAGAGGAGACATCACCAGCAGAGAAACTTTGATTTGCAACTTCTGACTTTGGCATTCGTTCTCGAAAGACGTTGCTCCACTTCTTCCTCTTCCTGTTCATTCTGTGGGCAGGAGGCCTAGTTAGGAGCAGATTCTTCTCTCAGTTCAGCGATGTTCTGTGCAGTTTCTTTCATGGATGATGTTGATGGGAAAGATAGAAGAGTTGATGTGTCTCCTATTTTCTGCAGGATCCTTAATTTTGTTCTCTTTCCTCTTCTCCTGCCCTGCCTGTCTCCCAGGAGCACCACTTCTCTCCCTGTGTCTGATTCTCCCCAACAAGCTCGGCTTCTCCGTGTCTGGGCTGCACACTGTCAGGCCCCACTCTGGAGCCTGGGCTCTGAACTGCCAGGTACACATCAGTGTTCATTGTCTCTTTTTTTTTTTTCTCTGAGACGGAGTTTCACTCTTGTTGCCCAGGCTGGAGTGCAATGGTGCAATCATGGCTCACTGCAACCTCTGCCTCCTGGGTTCAAGCAATTCTCCTGCCTCAGCCTCCTGAGTAGCTGGGATTACAGGCGCACACCATCATGCCCGGCTAATTTTTTGTATTTTTAGTAGAGACGGGGTTTCACCGTTTTGGCCAGGAGATCTGGAACTCCTGACCTCAGATGATCCACCCACCTTGGCCTCCCAAAGTGCTGGGATTACAGGCGTGAGCCACCACGCACGCGGCCTTGTTCATTCTCTTTGTAAATATTGTTTCACTTTCTCTTTTGGGAGTGGCTTTGTCTGTTTTTTCTCTAAGTTCTCTGCTTCCCTCCACCCTTTTCCCCAATCTCTTGAGACTTCTCTCCCCTGATTTCTGCACCCACGGGTTTGTGGTGGCTGCTTGCTGCAGGCCCGCAGTGCGTACTCTGTTGGATTTTTTTTTCTTCTGTGCACAGATAATTGGAAAATTGCAGCTTGTCTTATCTTTTAGTCATGCTGAAAGAGGGACATTTACCACCATTATGAGGAAATCTGCACACTGGTATATTTTTAAAGCGCCCAGATGATTCTAATATGCAGCCGTGGTGGAGAACATCTTATTATATCATCACAATGTGCTTTTAAATATGTTTTACGTTTATTTTCCCAAAGTTCCTTTGGCTTCCCAGCCATGACTATCTCATTTTTCTCCTACCCGAGTCCTGTAGGTAAGAGAAGCACTGTTCTTCACATCTCTGTTTGTCAAAGAATTCACCTACATCAGAATCACCTATGAGTCTCGCCAAATATTGCAGTTTCCCAGATCCCATTCTGGGCTTACTGAGATCATCTCTGGAGACCCAGAACTCTGCATTTTCAACAAGCACACACACGCACACACACCCATGATTAAGCTATGAAGGATCATAAAAATCACGGCTTTGGATACTGGTGGACCCTGAGTTTCTGCTCTTGCTTCTCTTCCATACACTGTCTAATGTCAGCCACATGAAAAGTATTTATTATAATTCATATATGCAAAGCAATAGCTTAAACCTAAACCTTTTCCTGAGTTAAAAGACCCAGATTCCTGTCTTTGTTTTAAAATACACATTATGATTATAAATGCAATGCATGTTTTAGAAAATACAGGATGTACGCCGGGCACAGTGGCTCACACCTGTAATCCCAGCACTTTGAGAGGCCGAGGTGGGTGAATCTCTTGAGATCAAGAGTTCAAGACCAACCTGGGCAAAATGGTGAAACCCTGTCTCTATTAAAAATAATAAAATTAGGCCGGGCGCGGTGGCTCAAGCCTGTAATCCCAGCACTTTGGGAGGCCGAGACGGGTGGATCACGAGGTCAGGAGATCGAGACCATCCTGGCTAACACGGTGAAACCCCGTCTCTACTAAAAAATACAAAAAACTAGCCAGGCAAGGTGGCGGGCGCCTGTAGTCCCAGCTACTCAGGAGGCTGAAGCAGGAGAATGGCGTGAACCCAGGAGGCGGAGCTTGCAGTGAGCTGAGATCTGGCCACTGCACTCCAGCCTGGGTGACAGAGCGAGACTCCGTCTCAAAAAAAAAAAAAGAAAAAAAAAATTTAGCCAGACATGTTGGTACGCACCTGTGATTCCCAGCTACTTGGTAGGCTGAGGTAGGAAATCGCTTGAACCCGGGAAGTCAAAGCTGCAGTGAGACGAAATCACACCACTGCACTCCAGCCTGGACGACACGGCCAGACCCTTTCTCAAAAAAAAAGAAGAATGAAAGAAGAAAGAAAGAGAGAGAAGAAGAAAATGGAAGGAAGAAAGAAAGAAGAAAGAGGAGGGAGGGAGGGAGGAAGGAAGGAAAGAAGGAAGGGAAACAGAATGTAGGAAGAAAAGGGATTTACTCATATTTTCACAATCCAGAGATAAATATTATTAATACATTTGCATATATACTGTCTTAGTCCATTCGAACTGCTATAACAAAATACTATAAACTGAGTGACTTATAGGCAAAGAGAAATTTATTTCTTATGGTTATGGAAGCCGGGAAATCCAAGATCAAGGAGCCAGCAGATTTTCTGTCTGGTGAGGGCCCACTTTTAGGTTCCCAGATATGCCTTCTAGCTGTGTCAGAACATGGTGGAAGGATAAGGAGTCCCTCTCATTCTTTTCTTTTTTTTTTTCTTTTGAGACAGAGTTTCACTCTTGTTGTCCAGGCTGGAGTGCAAGGGCGCGATCTCGGCTCACTGCAACCTCTGCCTCCCAAGTTCAAGCGATTCTCCTGTTGCAGCCTCCCAAGTAGCTGGGATTCCAGGCATGCGCCACCATGCCCAGCTAATTTTTGTATTTTTAGTAGAGACGGGGTTTCTCCATGTTGGTCAGGCTGGTCTTGAACTCGCAGCCTCAGGTGATTTGCCCACCTCAGCCTCCCAAAGTGCTGGGATTACAGGTGTGAGCCACCGCACCCGACCTTGTTTTTGTTTTACAACAAAAGGCAGTTCAGCATCTGCTTCAACAATGTAGACCCAACCGAGGCTGAGGCCAGCCAAGACTTGCCTCGGTTGAGTCTCTGTTTCATAAAATAAGATAATAGTACTTTATAAGGCAGTCATGTGGATTAAATGTATTAATATACATAGGTATAGAACAGTGCCTGATATGTAGTAAATGGTACTTATGTGTTAGCTACTCGTGAGAGTGTCTAAGTAGAGGGATATTTTTAATTCTTATCTCTTTAATCATAATATCAAATTGACTTCCAAAAAAAGGAAATCCCACTTCCATCAGCTGTGAATGTGAGTGCCCCCTCAAGGTACCACCAGGACTAAGGGACTTGAGTAATGTCATGTATCACCAAATTGAAATGAAAGAAGAGACTGGCCTGGTGTGGTGGCTCACGCCTGTAATCCCAGCACTTTGGGAGACCGAGGTGGGCGGATCACGAGGTCAGGAGATCGAGACCATCCTGACTAACACAGTGAAATCTTGTCTTTACTAAAAATACAAAAAATTAGCCGGGCATGGTGGCGGGCGCCTGTAGTCCCAGCTACTCGGGTGGCTGAGGCAGGAGAATGGCGTGAACCCGGGAGGCGGAGCTTGCCAGTGAGCCAAGATCTCGCCACTGCACTCCAGCCTGGGCGACAGAGCGAGACTCCATCTCAAAAAAAAAACAAAAACAGAAAAAGAAGAGACTAATTTTGGCCTAACCATACACACCATTTTCTGATTAGACTGGTTACTCAGGAATGACAGTCTTGTAGAGGATCCTTGAATGGCCCTGTGTCTATTCTCTTCTGTCCCGTCTCCCCTACCCACAAACATGTTAAGGCTCTACACTGGTATGACTTTGCGCATATAGGAAAAATTGGAGTGAAAATTATATAATTTTCTTGCTTTCATCATGTATTTACTCTGTTGAATACATGTGCAGATCAAATCAGAATATGAAGTTCCTTTATGGCTATTAAACCAAGAAAATCTATCCTCCACTAACTAACCAGCTCTGAGGCAACTAGCAGGGGCTGCATCTCATTTCTAACATTGCTGTATTTCAAAAGGTTTTAGAATAATTTCCAAAGTAAATGACTTTTATTGTCCATAAGATTTCTTGGACAACCTATTTTACACATTCAGGGCATACAATTTTTAACTACCTTGGCCGGGCACGGTGGTTCATGCCTGTAACCCCAGCACTTTGGGATGCCAAGGCAGGTGGATCACTTGAGGTCAGGAGTTCGAGATCAGCCTGGCCAACAAGCGGAAACCCCGTCTCTACAAAAATACAAAAAATACTCGGGGGTGGTGGTGTGTGCCTATAATTCCAGCTACTCTGGAGCCTGAGGCAAGAGAATCACTTGAATCCTGGAGGCGGAGGTTGCAGTGAACCGAGATCGCGCCACTGCACTCCAGCCTGGGCAACAGAGGGAGACTCCGTCTCAAAAAAAATGAAAAAATAAAAATAAATTTAAAAAAAATTTGACTACTCTGAACTGTGTTCTTCCTGAGATGAACTCTATTCCTCCAAACTAGGAGCCTTTCTCAGTGCTTTCAGCCTTCCTCCTTTCATTTGGAAGATGGTCACAGATGCTTCATCTTGGCTCATTCATGTAAAGCAGCTATTGCATGCCTACTGCATATACTCAGATAATGTCAAGCACTGGCAATACAATGGTTAAAAAAAATGTTTAAAGATGGCCCTGGCCGGGCGCAGTGGCTCACGCCTGTAATCCCAGCACTTTGGGAGGCCGAGGCGGGCGGATCACGAGGTCAGGAGATCAAGACCATCCTGGCTAACATGGTGAAACCCCGTCTCTACTAAAAATACAAAAAAAATTAGTCAGGGGTGGTGGCGGGTGCCTGTGGTCCCAGCTACTCGGGAGGCTGAGGCAGGAGAATGGCGGGAACCTGGGAGGCGGAGCTTGCAGTGAATGGAGATCGCGCCCCTGCACTCCAGCCTGGGCGACACAGCGAGACTCCGTCTCAAAAAAAAAAAAAAAAAAAAGGTCCTAATTCCAACACCTTGTATGTTAAGTCTCTGGATAACTATTACCACCTTTAACAGTGGTTTATACAGTAAAAATTGTGTTTTGCCACAAATCTGCAGTTTTGGTAGGGCTCAGTGAGGAATGCTCCTGTCTCCACACAGCACCCACAGAGGCAGCTGAACCGAAGGATGAGGAACATGTTTCCAAGATGGCGCCCTCATGTGACTGGTGGGTTGGTGTTGGCTGTCAGTTTTGGAATTCGGCTGGGGGCCTCAGTTCCTATCCTCCATATGGCCCTGGCTTTCTCAGAGCATGGTGGCTGGGTTTCAAGGATGAACATCCCAAAGAGAGAGGCAGAAACTGTATTGCCTTTTATGCCTCACCCTCAAAAGTTCCATAACATTATTTCTGTCGTACCCAGTTGGTCCCAAGGCAACCACAAATGCCTGTCTAGGTCAAGGAAAGGGGATATAGATTCCATCTCTTGATGGGAAGAATGTCAAAGAACTTGTTTTAAAACTACCGCGTTAGGAAAAATATATACATTCCATTAGGGATAAGTAAGGGTAATGGCCATTTCCCTGTCTTGATCAGCTCAGCATAATTAACTAGTAATGAAAGACTGGGACATAAAAGGATGTGGTTTAATTCCCTTGGGTAGGGCAATTTCTTTTTATAATTTCCGTTCTGAACTCCAGATTCCCAGTTGCCTGCTCACATCATTTGAATATTTAACAGACATCTCACACTTAATGTGTCCAACATCAGACTCCAGAAGTCTTGCTCCTCCTTTAGCCTTTCACTTCTCAATACATAATAATTCCATTCCTCCATTCCTGCAGATAGAGGTGCACATTGCACATGGAGAGGAACTGAGGACCCCAGCCAAACTCCCAAACTGACAGCCAACACCAACCCCCCAGCCACATGAGGGCGCCGTCGTGGAAACATATCCCTCATCCTTTAGGTGAGCTGCTTCTGTGGATGCTGTGTGGAGCAGACAGGAGCATTCACCACTGAGCCCTACCCAAAAATCGCAACTCACTGGTTATCTGTTCACCTTATCCCTTGTCTTCTTAGGTCTTTGATCAAATGTCATCATTTTGATGATGCTTTGCCTGACCATGGCTGCCAAAACTTAACTCTCCACCCTGCCCTAACAGCACATGAAGAAGCATTTCATATATCCTTCTCTTCATCACTTTTCTCCTGGGCACCATCTGACTCATATGTTTTACTCTTTTATTTGCTTATTGCCTTCCTTTCACTACAATGTAAACTTTGCAAAGACAAGATTTTTTTGTTTGTCTTCTTCATGGATGAATCCTTGGTGCTTAGTCTAATGCCTTGTGCATGATGATGCTCAAAGAGTAGTTGTTGAATAAATGAGTGAATTGAAATTGGCATGCTTTGGCAAGTAGCACAGAGGAAGGATCAAAAAGGTAGGAAAATGGGAGGACAGAGGACTTACTAAAA